AGCGAATTTAAACGAAACGGTAAAATAAATTGTTGAAATAACCACGAAGCAGGAATTAACGTATTAATTATAGATAACTAATTTTTAAAAAATTTAATCTTCAGGTGAGTTGGGCAGAGGGCTAGTAATCTATTCCAGTAAAAATTTAAGTAGGTGAAATCAAAGAAACTGAAAGATTAAGACTCGATTTAAATCATTCATTAAACGAATTTTAATTTACTTTAATTTAATCTATAATAATAACAACAAATTTTATTAATCTAACAATAAAACAAAATATCGCAATAAATTTAATTGTTTAATCTTACGTTAACAAATTTATAATATAAAACGTCTCGAAACTCTGTGATAGTTATTTTACAAATATTTCTTAAATTTCTTGCAGTCAATTCACAGCAAAAATTTAAAAACTGCAAAATATAATACTTCATCTGGCGGAAAAATTCTATGAATACAATTACGTTTTAAATATTAATCCATTTTTTTACTGCTATTTCTCTTTATATAAAATTGGAAAAAATCGGAATCGCCCCTCCTGAAACGACCGACAAATTTATTTCTTTGTCACATATGTATTTTCCATCTTCGTTTCACTAAATCATGTGCGATTATTTTAAAGCAGTGCAGCAGACTGCATTTTGCAGAGTCGTTGAAGGACAATCTGAGGTTGGGTGTCGCCCGCAATAGAACATCTGTTTCTTAGTACACTTAACGAAATCTCGTGGTCTATGAGTGGGACCAAATTGTCGCGCCGGCTGACAAAAAAAGCTCCTACTTCAGAATGTTTGTTCTTAACCCCGAGATTCTAACACGTCGCGGTCGCAAAAATAAGTGGGACTTCTTTATAAAAATTTTATGACTTTTGCGCACTGGCCATTTATCCCTGCCAGGTGACTCTTTCACGGCTAGATATCGTCTTTGCCATCGAAAAAAAAGGGAAAAATTTTTCGACAATTGTCGACAGTTAATTGTGAATAAAATCGCAATTAATTATGAATAAATTCATACATTAATCGGTAGATATTATTTCGATAAATTAGTGAGATTAGTTATTTAAATTTGCGCACATTTGTAATTTATATGCAAAATGCATGATTTTCAGGATCGTAAAAATTTAATTTCGAATCTTTTTATTTCGACAAACATGAATAATTAATTACAGGTGCAATGTTTTACGTATAAGAGTTTGGTAGCCAAAGTTACTTTTTGTAAACCATAGCGCTTGATAGTAGAAGCGAAATAATGGGATACTGGCTGACGTTTCTCGGATGGGTGTGCATGCGAAAAAGCAATTTTCGACCATTTTCCGGATGGGAATAAGCCGTGATGAGACTGATTCGGATCGCTAGTCGGAGCAGTGGAACAAACGATCCTAAGTATGTTAAGCGCATTTCGTTCGTTTCGATACGATACCGGGATCGCCGATAATCGAATCCCTTTTCGTTTGCGCAATTTTCCGCCTTCCGTCTATTCGCATCCTCTCAATTAGATGTTAATGACGAGCTTCCTTCCCAGGTCGGCAAGATCGCGCTCATCGATGAAATATTAATTTGCATTTAACGTTAGACTATGCTGCGTTACGTTATGTTACACGTTACTTATACTGTACTACATTACGTTACAAAGAGAAGAAAATTTATAAATGTGATTGTTTAATATAAGTATTACTCGTCTCTTAATTCTGCAATTATAGTGCAATTAAGTAATAAATGTACTCATAATTTAACGTGCGATTTTTTACGAAAATTACTCTGACAATTCGAGTCTCCTTTTTTATAAGTAATTGCTTCATTATTACCGAGTCCGGTCCGTTTTATTAAACGACATAAATATTGATAAGAGAGTTTACTTGTATACTGTAATTTTAAGCACGTTCAATAACCGATGTCCGTGTGTACAAGTCGATCACACTAAGATTCGTTACCGCACAAGCGACCACCGGAATTGATTGCTGGGCTACACGAGATGGCCCGCAGATTTTAGGCCATCGTCGTAGACACTGCAACGAGGCGAGAGTGCGAGGGACGGGCACTCGGTGGAGAGAAAGGGAGAATGCTTGTATATGCAGGCGCATATAAAGGAGATATTCGATTAGTATGGCATAAATATCGTTTGAGGCGAGGGAATGAGAAGTGAGAGAGACAGAGAAATAGAGATACAGATATATCGAGAGACAGAGAAGTTGTAGCAGAAAGGGCTGGAAGAGCGTGATGCTTCGCGCCGCTTAATGCATGACAAAATGAGTTTACACTGGCCGGGAAGGGACGGCGACGGGGTTGGTGGGACACATAGTGGGGAGTTCGGCAGAACAGATATACGATGACGGCGAACGCGGCTGGGGGGTGGGAAAAGGAGGAGGGTAGATTCGACTGCATGGGCGACTTGGAGCGGCGCCAAAGGCAATATGCATTAGCCATCGCGTATTTTGAAATTCAAGCCAAAGCAGATTAAATTCTGTGCCGATCCCCTGTCCGGCCCGTCAATGGTTCTTCACCCGCCATTCTTTTCCCCGCCGGCCTTGCAGCCCCCTTGTTCACCCTACATCCTGACCGCTCGTGTCGTGTTTGCCGATACATAATGAATGTCGATCCGCCGACATGCCTAAGCTTTTATGGTATCTCGATCGACGAACATGCGCCGGAATGCGGCCGCCAGGTCAGGTTTTGGTTGCGGGTAATGCGCGCGTAAATTCGCCAATAGCGTGCCTAATCAGCCCAATCGAATTAGGCTCATATTAGAAATTCATCCCAGAAAGGAATGCAGCCGCAAGTGCCGAGATCGAATGACAAATGTGACAAAAGTGACGCGGATCATTTTTCCAATGTTTTCTAAATGTTCCTACGACAAATCACAATCAACTAAAGACATTACCAAAATAATTTTAAACGGAAATGAGCAGCAAATAAAAAAACCATTAAAGTTTAAAATAGCAATAAATTTAACTAGTTTGTAATTCATTCCAAATTTAATTATTATGAAACCATTTCATTATTTATTATGTATTTGCATACTATTTATATTTATCATATATGATTATCAAATAGTAATTAACTCACCGTAATAATTGCGAGTAAAATTACAAATAAAAAGTTAATGACATTAAATTAGAATAGAGAATGATCAAGAGTAACGTCATTTTCTCTCGATTGCAACCGCTCGTTCGTAGTTTGATACGCAAGCATCTTCAGTCAAGGATACGTTTCAACGAGATTGTCCACAATGGCGCGCTATGAAGATTCCCGATTAAACCAACGAGCATACCGACGCCTTTCATGACACTTCAATTACCTAACCCATCGTATGCGGTTACCGCATAAAGGAAAGGGTCAGGTTTCGGTTATTCCACCAGTCAGCGATTATACCCAGATCAATTTCCTTAAACGTAATAGTTGCGTTCCAAGCAATTAACAATAGCGAATTGTGCAGCTAGTTTCTTCCGCAAAGTCGTAAAGTTTCATCTAATCAACTGGATAATATAGCAGAAATAGATAATGTCGTTAGCATTCGTCACACATTAATTCTCGTGTCATTGTACGTATCAGTTTTAATGTTAAAATGGAAAAGAAAACGCGAAACCTAACATATCTAATTATCTGCGGAATTTAACGAAGGAACACAAAATCGTTCGCGAGAGTTGATCCTAATTTACAATGCGCTCTTCACGTCCAGAAACATTCTATTTTACATAAGCAAATCGGAACGCTTGAAAAATTTGTCGATAATACATTCGATTGTACAATTCATTAAATTTTTACATTGCATTTATTTGGCTGCAAAATAGAATACTTCTAGACGCAAACAACACACTGTAGATCAGCTTTTATTTCAAGTGAAGAAACATTACTTATATCTTTGCATTTGTGCATGCAACATTATATGTTCAACGCTCATGGCGTAATATGCCAACGTTACAGTCTACATTCTGTATCGACGCAAAAGGTACTTGCTTATCAAACTATGATTGAGCGAAGTATATTCTCAGTAGGCTTGTTTTGCACGTTAGTTTACGACGTCGTCCCTACGCAGTAGTTCCTTTAATATTTATGATGCATAAACGCGTGAGGGCATTAACGGATGTCAGTCTGAGTATATGGTAACGTATGCGCCAACGTTATGCGTAAACCGACATCTCCGAGCGTTAAAACAGACTATTCCGTAACGAGCAATCGATCATTCACCCGCAAAGAGCTTTTCCGATTTGACGGTCATTGACAAGCTTTTACGGTCAATCTCAATATCAGGCGAAACGTGGCCGATGATTATCCGCGCCGATTTCCGGTCGTTTTAACCCGTTGGTCATTCGGACCTGAATCAGTTCCGTCGCTCGACTTATCAGTAATTACGTTATAAGGATAACAAATTGCGGATTCCGCAGAACAGCGGACAATGTATATCGGAGCGCGTCGGCTCGTGCCGGAAAGTCCGATTCGCAGTATGCAATTCCGAATGCAACCGCCTCCCTGTCATTCCCCGTCCTTTCTTCGCCTACCCTCTGTTTCTCACAAAACCCGCCTATCCACCCCGCGATCCCTCGTTCCATTCGACGAAGATTAAGTGGTTTTCGGGCCTTGCGGGCGCGAACAGTACCGGAGATATCGTGGATACAATCGAGCAGCTGAAATTGCATGCAGCGGCCGCGATAGATATATGATGAGTGATAAATTATAGCGCATGAATGACAGCGAGACAAGATAGATGCATCTTGCAGGGGTCTTCCTTCGCCGCTCCGCTGTTCGCGATCGCCTCAATTTTTTATGTTCCGTTCCCGAAACGCATTAACAAATTCACGGCGATACCGCCAATAAATCGATCATCCAGCAATTATTCTATTTATCCGCCTTTAATCTATTTATGGCCAGTGCATTTTAGGACAACGGATTCGTAAGATTCATAATGTTACAATTTATCCGCAGCATTTTTACGTCGTTAACTTGATAAATTTAAATGTAATTTTCACAAATCCGTTATCCAAATATAAAATAAAAGACAATTTCACTCACCGATACGATACGCAGGCAGCGGAGTTGTAAACTGCATTACTAGCTGAACTGTAAAATAGAAATATAAATCCAAGTTATTACGCGCTCAAAGTAATTAATATTTCGATCAAAATTACTTTCGCGTATTTCCAACTTTTTATCCCTTTCTATTTCTTTCTTTTTATATTTCTTTCTTTCTCCAGCTTTCTTTAAGCAAATGTTTACTAAAATAATTGTTTAAATTGCAAAAAATGCTCCCTTTTTAAAATCCTATCAAATTTTTTAAGTCAATGCTCTCTTCTCCAGTTCACTTTTAATCTTTCAAATAAATAACTCAAATAAATAGACAATTTTTTAAACAACAATTTATAAAATGCAAGTTACTCACCTTATCGTTGCTCCGCCGATGCCCGATGCCTCCCAGGCCTCGTCCTCCTCTCAGGTCGCACCGTTGCACAGTATTCACTCGCGGAAATTCACTCGCGAAAACTTATTCGTGTTTAATTCGCGCGCGCACTAATTACTAGAATTACGACACTCCGCGCTACGTTATACGATTGTCGGATACCTGAAAGCAAATATTGAACTTTTGAATCAATTATTATCTCATGTTACAAGACGAAAGAATAAATACGCGAATTAAAAAGAAGCCCGCAGAGAACTCGGAATATGCACAATGAAATATCAGAAAATCTGTTTGCTTTACGCATGATAGACTTTGATCGAATAAATCTCGCGAAATACTGGTATTATTAAACCGATACATCACATTGCTTGAGTCACTCGACCTGTCGATTTGTACATTACTCAAACTCACCATTTAAACGACGAGCAAACTACATCGACAAGAAAGTCACAGGCGCACAGAGACGCGAGATACACTTGGCTCTACGAATAAACGAAGAAATAATCCCCGCTCAACACGAACATCGTTAAACAACACATAATTTTCTCGATCCTCGTCCCTTTTTACCTTAAATGAATCAATCATGCGGAAAATTTAACATATTCTGTCGACATGTAACCGTCGCCGCGCTTATGAGTCTTTGATAGTGCGAGCGGACGATTGTAAAGATGCTTCGTAACTTGTCTCGACACAGCCGCTGTTTCGATACGCTTACGAGACGTTGATCGTGACAGTTAAACGCGGATTTGTTACATATTCGCGAGCAGTAATCGCGCTGCGTCCCCCGATACCTTTCACAACGACGTTCCGATGTGAAATGAGCCGGTACGGAGCGCCTCGCGGCACGAAGGTCGCCGCGTGACAAAAACAAGGTGAATGATAGCGCGCCGAGTAATACGCCGCACGTAGTAAACGCCGAACCGTTCGAAAATACGATGTATTGTAAAAAAAGACACGTAGCAAGAGATCGAATTTCCGTTTCTTAATACCCGCCACAATGGCGTTACGAAGTAAAGAGAGTCTCACTGAGCTTGCTTCGATACAGCCGCCGTCTCGATACGCTTACGAGTCGTTGATCGTTAAACATGAATTTGTTGAATCACTAAAACTTTGTTTATTACTAAAACTAGTTCCACACTATGCGCGACTCGAGATTCGTAAATTTGTGAAGAGGGCGGAGGAAAATTTGGTCGCGATGCGCTAGCCGAGCGATTTTTTGACGAAAATAGTGGTTTTGTGATTAATATCGAAACTTGATCAATTGTAGACTTACGATGCAAGTTTTGTAATAACAGGTAAAAGTTAAAAGTTGTCCAAGTTAACGCGAACGAAACGACAAATAACAAATCACGAATAAGAAGCGTTACGACTTGCCATTAGTGTGGCGCTAGCTTTATTCGTATAAGCAGTAGTCGTATTTACATCTCCCAATATACCTGCCACGACGACGTTCCGAAGAGAAATGAATGAATGAATGATGAATCTTGGAGCGTCTCCCGACGCGGCCTACCTGCCCGAATGTCGCCACGACACTAACAAGGTAAACGACCCGCGGCGCGCGATACGTCGTGCATAAACAAATACCCCACCTTCGCGTGCCGATCGTTACAAAATATTTAACGTGTTATAAAACAAAGGCATATCACGTATATTACATTCTGTGTTTTCCAAAACCAATTTCGATGAGTGGATTATAATTTTTGCACCTTTGAGCTTTGTTTTCAGAATTTGTTAGCATTATCTGAAATAATGATCAATTATTTTCACAATCAGTCGATAGCATTTCGAAAGTTTAATACATTTATTTTAATTATAATTTGACAAACATGTGACATGAAATTATGTATTATATAATATATTTATTTTTGCGTTTTAAATGTTTTTCGCGAAAGAAACAAAAGTATTACAAGACAGCGGCATTTTTCAAAAATATTAGGGGTCTTATGTTTGCGAATATTTTTAGATTTGTTTTTATTATAAGATTAAAATTTATTTTAATCGTATGTAAATTACAAATATTGCCCGGAATTAATTTTCTTAAAGTTCTATTCTAATTCAGTCTATTCTATTTTAATTAAGTCAAACTTCGGGCGTCTAAGTTGAAATTATTAAGATAAAAAATTGGAAATGGAAGTTTATGTAACTTTATGTTACACCAGGACATTATAGTAAATATAATAAAACTATGCAATCTACTTTGTTGTTAAAAGAACATTTTTCTCAAGATTAAATTTCAAATATTGTCTAAAATATCTTTCTACCTCCAACTTGGACTGATTTATGCATTCATCTTTTTTCGTTTTGTAATTATGTAGAATAAAGTAGGTCATGGTACGAGTCTTAGTAGAAATTGATGAATTTTTCGCAAGTAGGTTAAACGTTCTACGCTTTATTAGAGTAATTACGGTTATCGTGTGCCTTTCTCAATGATATGCATTACACACCGTATGCAATTATCTACTTTCGCCACTAATGTAAGTGCATAATCGCCATCAAGATTAAGTAATCTTAAAAACCTACATTTCGTGAAAAATTACAGCATATACAAATGTGTACATTTACGAGATCCTTGCGTATTTAATGTTTTCCGTAAAACGATATAGAGATGTTACAAAATATCGACTTTTCTAAGAATATTAGATTCATCGGATTTGAAAATAATTATTAAATCAATTTCTTTTATTATTCCGCGTTTACTTTTCTTTAGCTGTATTTTAATCTAATCGAATTTTTGGCAGAAAAATCAGAAAAAAATAACAAAAATTGACCGTATCTACCGACACCAATAATAGTTGTGAAAAGCCAGAATATTGCCCACAGCGTACTATCCGATGGTACAAAACAGAAATTGGCGGTTGTGGTAATTGCGAGATATTGAAAATAGGTCGTTTCCGATAGTCTGACAAGAGTTATTCCGTATTAATCTGTCGGGAAATGCGATTGCCAATCCACCGGTTTGGCTTTGGTTAAGTTTAATGGTATACAACGAGCCGCGGTCTTGTCTATCAAGAGAAAATAAATGGCACTCAAATGCAATGACTTGCCAGAATGAGATATACATATTAATTGCATTGTTTTAAAAAGACATAAACCTAAGAACATAAGAAAGGATAAACGTAAGAACATAAGTATTTACCTAGAATTAATAAAATTGTAAGAAAATATGCTATTGACGCTATCGGGACTTGATTATCACGGCAATAACGTAACATTTTTGAGAAAACCTGTTGTCAAAAGGAGCAAAAGGAGCGCGATCGTATCGTCATTGCACGTTTTACCTACAACTTATTGCAAAGTCAGAATTAAACTTGGCGAGAATATTCAAAGTTTATAGCAGGCTACTGAGAGCATGCACCTAGATCTCGTTAAAGATTAAACCGCTCTTTCGCGTAACTGTGCATCGGAAAAGGTCTTTTTTCACTCCCCGTTCTCTCACTTTCACCGCACTTTTCTGCACCGCTAAAGGGTTGAACCTCCGGGAAGAGGTGAAAGAATAATTCGCACGTATAACTCAGAATCATTTCTCACTCCGAAACGTCGCGAGAACAACACGGGCGTGGAACGATCTTCCAGGGAACATCTTCGCGAACTACCTCAAGGGAAAGGACTCTGCCAAATGTCAGGCAATAATGCGTTTACATCGGCGGAAGTAACGTCGCGCGAACGAGTCTCAAATCGACAATGGCTTCGCCGCCGTCGGCGAACGAAACGGCAGTTTAATTCAGAGCCGTCGTGCGACGACAATTGTCGCGATTGCAGTTTCTAATTATTATCATTGAGCCGCCGACACGGCGAGCCGAGTGAAAATGCCGTGGATTAACGAAATGTAGCGGAAGCGTAATGAAACGTTTGCGGAATGCAAAATTTCGAACTCCCCCGCTCTCCCCCGCGAAACCGCTCGCGGCGGCAACGTTTGTTTGAACAGCCATAAATTAGCCCCCTGTTAATTTTTCGTAATTGATGATCGCAAATATATCAGCAGTTAACAATGATAACCGGCGATCGCGGTTCTCGCGTGTGAGCTTGAATTTTAGTATTTATCTTGTAAATCGATGATGGATGACGATTCGTATATAAACTATTCAGTTTCTGACGCAGAGCATAAATTTTATACGACTCGTTAATCTTACAATAATATGCCCGTATATTGACGATCGACATCTGTCAAATTGTAATCGGCGGAAGGGACGATGTAATCAACCTTTTTCCTCAAAACGTTCGCGATAATCGAAATTTAATTCAATAATGATACAACGTGTTTTCTCCGAGAGCCCCGCAGTTATTAATTTCACATCATGGCGCTTTAATTGAAAAAAAAACGCTTTTAATTGTGATATGGATTTATTCCGTTGTTTATCGGATTTCTTCCTCGCCCGCATTGATTAAAATATCGCAGTTGTTGAAAAAAAATATGCGCATAACATCATACAGTGGTGAAACGTAAAAACCAATGCGACACGTGTTGATAAATGAAATCTCGAATACAATTAATTAAGATTGCCAAGCCTTCCCCCCCCCCTCCCGCAATTGTTGACGTTACAAATTTATTAGTCGACTCGCGCAACATGGAAAGGTCGGAAAAATTCTATCGAGGCACACGTACGGTGTTGCATGCATGCAGAAATGGGAAGATTGATCGCACGTAGGCGAGCGGAACGAGGATAACGCGTGCATTGCGAAATCAATATGCCCATGTGGTCTTTTACCCCATACGCCATTTATTACGCTCTTGTTTGCCGTATATCGTGTGCGCGCACGTTAAATGAACGCTCGCGCAAAGGAACACGGACGCGAGGTCAATTTTTTGCCTCTCGACACTTCTCGCGCGCGCAACCTTTGTGCGGAAACGAAAACGCATAAAAATGCGTGAGGATGCGACGTGAAAAAATAAAACGAAGGAGAGAGAGAGAGAGAGAGAGAGAGAGAGAATCGGAAAATAATAACTCTCGCGCGACCGTTTGTCAGTACTGGGCTCAATGGGTCTCTATAGATTGACAATTTTCAAGTAAGATTGTATCATGCGTTGTATCGAGTCTTAACAAAATTGTATTATTCACTATACCAGTAATTTTACCGTTTCAAGCGTAGCAAACGCGGATGATGATCTGTAAATATTGGAAATCAACGTTTGCATTGCGAACGGTGATTCGTGATAACGAGGTAAAAATGACAAGCGACCGTGAGAACCGAAATAAATTTGCACGTAGCAGAGCCGGGATGACATAACATTGTAGAAACGAAGCTACATATATATTTACGCAATTTTCGGGGTCAATTCTGTGTCTTACACTATAGCGAAAGTGCTAAAAGCGAGAGGGAAACCGCTGATCAAAATCTTGTACACCAATGCCCATTAATGCCCAGCGGGCATTACCTTATCTTGTTATCTAATTTTATCTTATTTATCTTGTTTTATCTTATTTTATCTTTATAATGCCCCAGCAAGGCTTAATGCCCAAACTAATGCCTAGTAATGCCCAGTAATGCCGCAAATCTGTGCACCACAATGCCCTCGGCGGTTTCCTCCTCGGCTAAAAGTGAGTAGCTTTGTCTCTTTCTAACTGTCCCCTCAGAAAGAGATAAAACCGTTCATTTTTGGCATTTTTCCTATATTGTAAGGCACAAAATTGATGCCCTGTGCGAGCAATTAACAATATTCAATCCGTCTGTACTTCCACGTATTTTACACCTTTTCAGATCCGATCCATTTCGGGCTGCGTGGAAACATCACCCGAGTGCCCTAGTGTATCAGTTTCATTGTTGCTCACCGCATGGTAAAGTAGGATAAAATAATACACTGGGGCACTCGAGTGACGTTGCCGAACGGAGCTTTATTCAGAAGTCATAAATGCATGCGAGAAGCTTCGTCGTGGATAATTCGTTTTTCAATTCCGAGGAAAAACGCGGGCGACTCGCCTCTCGGCGCGCAGGGCGGAAGGGAAGACGAAACATGCTCGCCGTTATCGATGACGATGGCAGTGGTGGGTGTGGCAGCGGGAGCCCGCGTAGGGCGCACTCGGGGTGGCTCGGGGATAGCGACGAGCACGCGGTGTGGTACACAGAGGGTGGATTCGAAAAGAATGAAATAACGGATTGGGTCGCGGCCAACTGGCCGCTTTCCAACCAATCCTTAGTCGCCCGGATGCGACTGGGAGTGTATTATGTATACCATTCAGGCGGCCTTATATTCGCGGAATCGCCCCGGTGCATCCCATTCAAAATCAAATATTTCTCTGCGGGGTCGCCGCAGCGAGAATTTCGGGCCACGAGGAGGATAAAGCGCGCGAAATGAGCGGATCGAACCGAACAGAAATCCCGTAGCGTTTTACATCGGGCGTTTATGGGAGAAATTCGATACTCTCTGATGTTGGTAGACGTAAAATGTGCACCGCGAGAAAATCTTGATAACGTTTATTGTTGTAATGAAATTATATTCAAAAATCACGAGCGCGTTCACCCCGCGCGACGATTTTTCATTTAAATATCTGAGAGAAGGAAAACTCCACGCGCACAGACGGAACCTCTTCAACGTCTCACCTGTGCTTCGTTTCGTTCCCTTTTCTCTTTTTTACTGCAATTATATTTCTGAGGCTTAGTATTTGCAATTATTTAGATTTACGTACATTTCATTGCAAAAGTGTGTCAATTGTAATATTCAGAATGAAATGTCATATCTTTTTAAAACACGAATCATTCATACATTCACGACAGCTTGACCGGCGAATAAATTACTACCAAAAAATCGTCCGCGTATAATTAATTCCTGACTAACCGCCGGTGAAGTTCGCATTCTCCTTCGCTACTCCAAGGCCACGAACATTTATAATAAAAATATAAAGATTCTCGTACAAGTTTTACTCAGTTACTTCGTCACGTTGTGGCCAAGAAATAATTTATTCCACAACCAATAAATAATAAATTAATTACTAACCACATTGTTGTTCCGTTGACGGCGTCTCTCGTCCTGCAGCAGTTTCTTCGTGCCACTCGTCCACTGCTCACGCGCGAAAATCGTGGTTAATCAAACTAATTGTCAAAATACGACGTTCACTTCGCAGTCCCGACTTGGTCGTACGCGATCGCGCATTTCACTACGTTATTCTACAATGGACGCAAAACGCAAGACGCTAAGCCGCAACGCGAGAAAGCGACCAATCGCAATCAAATACGAGAAGAATGATCGACTGTCATTGGCCAATTTCTATCTCTGCGTCCAGAAACATTCTATTTTGTAGCCAATAAATATGCGTGTACACTGACAAAAAAATTTTTTTTAACTAAGTAAATTAATTTTCTCCGCTGTAAAACTTATATCTTAGTAAACATTTTATAGAATTAAAGTAAATTATTTATAAATTTAAAACTATCTACTGTTTTGATATTTAATAAATACTTAAATTAAAGAAATGCATAGTTTAATTTATTATCTTTTAAATTTAAGTTAATAAGCTATTAGGAGCCACCTAATGAATAATTTTCTTGAGTAAAATAATATTTTTTTGGATTAAGATATTTTTTTATCAGTGTAAGACCGTGGCCCGTGCATCCACAGAAAACATTTCCGGATCCAATGCTATTACACTTCAATGTATCATAAAATAGGATCGATATAGCGCCAATCATATTTATTATGGAGAAAGGAATATTTTAATCTTAAATGAAAAATTCTAAAATCTAAAAATCTAAAATAAAATGTCTTTTGTCGAATATCCTGGTGCCAACTTGGTGCGTTGTAAGATGGAGGGAAAATTTATTCTAAACGCAAGAATATATAAACTTATAGCGAATTCGGTTGCTTGCACTAGGAGCGCACTAAGGCTTGATTATAGTCAATTCTTATATTTAAGTTTGTCTTAAATACACGTTGAAAGAGTATTTAGCCAAAAAGTATTTATACAGATGCTGTACGATTTTATTGGCTAAGAAGTCTTTCAAGAGGTATTTAAAATAATCCTTAAATATCAATTGTTATATTTAACTTTGTCTTAAATACACGTTGAGAGTATTTAGCCAAAAAGTATTTGTACAGATGCTGTACGGATCATTTTACTGGCTGAGCTGTCTTTCAAGAGGTATTTAAAATGATCCTTAAATATAAGAATTGACTGTAAACGAGTCTTAGTGTGCACTGAGTGTGCACAAGTGCAAGCAACCGAATACGCCTATTAAATTTATTAATAAGTTACTCTTGTCTCAATTTAGTAAGTCAATGTTTTTTAATTTGTTAGAAAGGAATAAGAATTATTGATTTAATTTTGATACTGTCTCATTTTTGTGCTAAATGAGGCCGCGAGAAATAAAAATGCGTCGAGAATATGTTTCGTCTCGGTAACAGAAATTCCTTTCCGAGGGTGTGCTTACAGTGCCTTGCGTTTTGCGTCCCGGAGTCTCGCGTTGTAGAATCAGCTTTACGGCGGGGGAATTTTCGTGGGAGGCGGATATCCGCGACGTGGCGATTCGAAAATCGTACGGCTTACTTCACGCGACATTCGCCAGGGCAATGTTATACCTGTTGCTCCCGTAGCCGCGCCTCCGTGCACTTTCCGCGTTTCGAATAACGTACGATATTTCGGACGATTATTATCTTGTACCCGCGACACGAGGGAATAAATACCGCGGGAGCGAGGGGGTATCCGATTTTTCAAAACACGCTCGTTTCCGCGTCGCGAACGCGCGCTAAACGCGGATCTCATAAATTACGCGAGACACGCACGCTATTAATAAACGGCCGATATATCAATTGTCGATTCGCGTATTATTCCGATCCGCTTCGTTTTATCTCCGAAAATGACGCGCGCTAGATTGATGGGAAATCAAGGCGCGAACGCGAGACTCCGGGAACAAAACGAGGAAATAATCTTCGTCCGTAAATATCGCAACACTTAATAATTCCCGATCTCCATCGCTTTCCATTTGACACGAATAAGGGCCGTTGCAAACAGACGCCGCGCCGGTTCGTTTAACTCGAGAGAGAGAAAGAGAGGGGGGAGGGGGGGGAGGGAGAGAGAGAGAGAGAGAGAGAGAGAGAGAGAGAGAGAGAGAGAGAGAGAGAGAGAGAGAGAGAGAGAGAGAGAG